TTCGTAGTATAGGACGTATTCCTTGGTGTCACCATGTGAGTAATGCAGAAGTTAGGTGTAGAGTTTTGGGGAGAAGAGGTAAGTCAGTTGACGAGGTTGTGAACCTTCATCGATTGAGATGGTTGGGACACGTACTACATATGCCTAGTCACCGATTGCCTCGTCACACAATGTTGGCTGAGGTGGGTCCAGACTGGAAAAAGGCCCGAGGTGGCCAGACTAAAACATGGCACCAATGTATGAAGTCTCTGACTGTTGGTTTAAGCCATGTAGGACGATGCGACTAAGTGGTTGGCGTCCGCGGGACAAGAGGAACCAGTGGTTGGAGACCCTAGGTGATATGGCTCAGAACCGATGTCAGTGGCGCAGATGTATACACACATTATCCTCATCTTAACTACACTATACCGAATCTCACCATTTTGTCACTCCTCTTTCCTTTCTTCTCGTACTTCATATTTCTTTTGACTGCATTCACTTATCTTCATCCTTCACCTCACTACCTTTCTACTTGATGAAGTGACGTGAGGTATGGCAACTCGGACCGTTATGTAGTAATGCCTGGTCCTATGTTAATAATGAAATGAAATGAAAATGCAGAGAGTCAACCTATAGGTAATTTTAATGACTCATACAGATAAATATTTAGATCTATTTCTTTATTTTACAAAGTAAAATGATTCCATTGAATCACAGGCATTTTTTAGTGACATAGAGATAATATTCTCATTTTCAATAAACATCATTCACCAATAGTTATCTGCTCTTCGTAGTTTGCTGTCTTGTGGCAGTTCATATATTTGACCATTTTCAAATAAAAAATTCTATCCTTAAATTATTGTTAACGCAAGATGAGACCTTCATAAACTAAATTTGAATGAGGTCACCAAAATTTCTCTCAGATAATTTTATATAGTCACTTCCCACCTTACTGATTTCAAAAAGGGTTAGGTGATGAAGCATTTCAGTGATAAACTGTTATTTATTTGGTGATTCCAAAACATTAGCATCATGCCATATATATCAGTTGACTATAGACCTCTAATACAAGGTCAGAAGAGCACTGAATAAAGTAACTGTGGAGATAATATTGACATAATTTGCAGTATTTTGCAAAATATTCAATGAAACAATTGATAAGTAATGATTCCAGTTGATGGAACCAAATTCAAAGTATGTGCTCCAAGGTATTAGACTTTTAGTATTGTTGTTACCAGTTAGTGAATTCGCAAAGAACAAGTAAAGGATAGTGATAAAACAAACGTAGTTGGCCTTAAACTAACACACACATGAGATCTAATTCATTTCTCAAATCTTATTTGGTCATATATGTAACAGAACATTATAGTATACCTCTCAAATAGGGATCAATAAACACCGTCAATTTTATATCAAATAAAAGATTACGAAAACTATTACACTTATTTATGATAAACCATATTGCACAGAAAATGTATAGGTTGACAAAAATGCAAGCAAATCCTGGAGGACAAATCAATAATACGAGTCATAAAAAAGAAATTATATTTAGTTTTCAACAAACTAAAACATTACTAGTCACTAAATTCATAAATCTGATCGAGTTTTGTCAATCAGTAACTATATATTAAAATCTAACGCTCATTGGTGATTAGCATCGAGAGACGATTCCCGAAGTTTCAATGAGAATTCATGACCGGTGGAGTCAAGTAAGTTAAACATGATGACAGTTACTCAACGATAATATTTGATGTAGGTCACGTTATATCATGGACTGACAGAAATAAGAAATGTAGACCATTTGTTTCCAACCCAATGGTAACGTGCTGACCACGGAACCTTAAGGTCCTGGGTTCAGTCCCTGGTGGTCATGCATGTACATTGCTGAGCCCCATATTAGGACGAGTTGGCTGTCCAGTGCGAACGGGTTTCTAATAGGGAACTCCAACTTGAAATCAATGAATAAACCTCCAGATAAAAGTTAAAATATTTTCACATAACACAGCACTATGCTCAGTATTTTTATGGATATCAGTTGTGAACAGAAAATACTGTATAATAGTAATTCACTATTTAGAAAAAATCAATAAAGTCCATCTGAATCGTTGGATTACACTTCTATCAATCTTCCGATAATGCTGATTATCTGCTATAGTATCGTTTTCAAAATATGGTACACATTACTGTTAGGTAAGCTGCCAAAATGGCTTTAAATTTTACAAGCAAAAACCAGTTAAATATAAGGATATATAATCAATGGTTGAGCTTCTAAGAAGTGAAACATTTTGTGAACTTCGAATTCCATAAATTTATTCGATATAGTTTAGGATATTTGTTGTATGTCCAACTAAGAAGTAGACACAATTGAGCCCAATATATACAACGAATAATTTGAAAAGCAGAATTATGAAACGGTTGCTTTTCAATTGAATTACCTGTGAAATGTCGTTAATTTTCCCTCAATATAAAATTAGTTATTACTATTCTAGATTGATATCTACTAAGGAATCGTTCAAAGTCCGAAAATATTGGTTAGCTGCTTCTTTCTATTATGAGACTAGTTAGTTACACGCATCGAATATCTATGTGGAAGCAAGCCTAGGACTAGAAATCAATCAATAGAATGGCAATCCTCCAATCCTTAGTGAACAGTTTTGAGACAGACTTTTAGAGGTTTGTTACAGGAAGTTGCCACTTACAGAGTCAAAAAAATTTATTGTCAAATTCCTCCTGAATCTGTAATTTACTTGGTACATTTCTGGAAGATGTTGGGCTATTTCTTTAAATTACTTTTTATGTGTACATATATGGGAAAAACCAAATCACGTGCGGGTCAAATCGCAACGCCACGCTAGGCATCATCATTGTACAGAGCCTAGAATGGCAGTCCACTGTACCTCAACTTCATCGATTTTGAAAAGGCCTTCCACAGCATCGACTAAGAAGTAATTTGGAAACTGCTTCAACACTACGGTTACAGTACCACTAACCTTTAACAACCTCATTCAACAGCCATATGCTATATGAGGCTACATATCAAATGAGTCACAATAGAAAGCTCAGTGACGCCTTTGAAGTGAAGACAGGAGTAAGACAAGACTGGCAACTACTATCACTGATGGCCTTCATGACTGTGGTCAACTGGACTGAACATCATCGTCCAAGAAACTGTGAAAAGCGAGAAGAGGGGTATACGCTGGCTGGACCGATGAAAAGACCCTAGAAAAAGATTTGGATTTCGCCGACGACGATGATTTTTGTCTAATGCCTTGTCACACAAACTCGAAGATCTACAGGTGAAAACTGACAAGTTGACAGAAGAAGCAGCAAAGATGGGACTTCAAGTGAACATAGAGAAGACAGAGGTGATGACGATGCCCAACCAACGACAACAAGAGGCGCCAATCACCATTAACGGGAGAAACCTAAAGGAAGTAGTCTCTTTCAACTAACCAACCAGGCAAGGCAGCATCGTTTCAAATACAGGCGACATAGGCACAGACGAGCATATCAAAACTAGGATCGAAAAAGCAAGACAGGCCTTCCCGCATTAATCTGAAACAATCAGTGTGGAGATCTACTACACTTAAGCACAAAGAACAAGATCCGGATTTTCAACACCCATGTCAGTAAAGTCAGTCAAATCAGTCAAGTTTAGCTTCCTGAAATTACTGATGTTTTCAAACAATTTTTTTTCTAGAGATTTCCAGTTGAAATGAAGTCTATTATTTTTCCTTCAACTGTTAACTTAACTAATGAATTTCAAGTTGTTATTCATCGAAGACTGACATCAGTTGGAGGAACAACTGATGTCAGTCTTCGATGAATAACAACTTGAAATATTTCCAAATCTCCACAACCCCCTCAAAATTTAATGAATTTCAATCATTACTCTCCTCAAAAGTTAAAGTGCAAACAACTGAAGTATTAACTTTCACACAGATAGATAAACAGGGAAACAGAAAGCAAGTTTCGTCAACTAACCACCATATCTTATTTGTAAGCGATTACAGAAGTTGGTTTATAATTTGAAGGCAGCTAGTTTTTTTTTCAACCTGTTTGAATTATGTTATACGTTATCATAACAATGAACAAATATAATACGTCTATTAGAAATATATATTTACAACTTAAATAGTAGAAGAACGTTTTCTTGCTTATAAACATATATATGGGCATCAGATCTATTTCTACTAAAGAGAACTTTCCTTTTTTGTAATTATGTTAAAATACTTTGGTATATAAAACATTGAAGATTAATCAGAGTGCAACCTATATATTAAAAAACCTGTGATGAAAAAGATAAATTTGATCGTGTTAAACAAAATTCGGTGATTGATTATCCGTTGCAAGTTGGTTCTATGCTTAGTTTACGCTTACAAAGGAATATATATATATATATATATATATATATATATATATATATATATATGTGTGTGTGCGTGGATAACTGATTCCCACAATGCCTGAAGCTTCCTGGTTGTCTATGAATTTCTACTCGATGTTGATTCACAATGAAGATTGGCCTTAATTATATATATATGGTTCAGTAAACTACTTACTAAATATTTTGACCAATAAAAAAACTTCCGTGAAATAAAACAACCTGAAAGATGAAAAACCATAAAAGAGGCAAGAAAATTGAAAGGGAAAGGTAAGAAGTATTCAATGTTGATTGGTAAATGAAATATTGATATGTTTTTTAAACCCTTGTAAACATGTTTAAGAAATACATATGTAGAAAACGTACAACTGGAAGTTATTGTGAAATTTATCAGTTTTTGATTCGTCAGTGTATTTTTGTAAATATTTGCTTAGAAATTAGTGTTCAAGCATTTTGTCAGCACGCTAATTCCCTCCAAATCTTTACACCATACATATATATATATATATCTTCATGCTGAAAGTGTACACTTGAAATGTCACCGACTTATATATTATTTTCATAATTATCATTGAAACCTTTATAATTAATTACTAGTATTATTACCAATTTTCTCGTTTAAACATTTTACTACAAGAAATATAGAACATTGAGTACAAAAATAAAACAGTAGAGTAATTTGTCGTCAACATTTTAAGAAAATTGAAAAATGAACCGCAATTTCATGAAAAAGAATCATTATTATCAAATTATATGGATCTTTCTAACAATAACCATTATACCAGAAACCTTTTCAATTGTTATTCATACTAATAAACCTTATGAATTAATTCTTGATAATAACAATCATGATAATAATAATAATAATTACTATGATAGTGAAAATGATGACGATGGAATCAATTATGGTAGAATAAACAGTGAAGATCATAAGAATGATCCATCAGATTATCAGTTATATTCAAGATATCTAAATTCTATGAATCATCAAAATATTCATCATCGTTCTATACGGAATCCATGTACACGTAAAATATCTATAAATCCTAAAAAAATAATTTACAAACGCCTTTCATTGGATGATTTTGAAAAAAAACGAGCTGCTACTGCCGTATCATCCTCATCATGGCATTCTCCATCATTCTCATTTAATGGTGATATGCGTTTCATTTCAAATTTACGACATATGATGACTGGTTCCAATCCCTTAACAGCTATCGGGTAATTACAATACTACCAAATAGTATTATTGATAAAAAAACTCTAATTATCAGTTTTTATGTAAAAGAGATTAAAAAGTAATGGCAATAATAATAATAATAATAATAATAATAATGATAATAATAATGAAAAATACGTCTACTTTATCACGAAGAGATAGGAAAGGGAAACGCAAAATGACACAGAAAGTCAGTAGTCAATATATAGTATAAAAAGATCTTCATTTATTTCGATGTTCATATTAAAGCTAAATCGCTTATGATGTAGGTAAGCAATTTACTGAAATATTAGTAATTGTCTTAACTTAGAATTATATCTCAATGCGGTATTGAGCGATGAAAGTTAGAATTTTAGAGATCTTACGAATTTAGGTAATTTGGTTGGTTGTGGCTAGCGGAGGAATCTAAGACGAACGTTTCCTCCTATTTACGACTCACTCGTCAGCTGCATGTACCTGCACCTCAGTACAGAGTGACGTTGTTCACACTGAAACTCGAACCTCGTGCCCATTGCTTGAAATGTCAAAGCGTTGTCCACTATGCCACAGAGGAACGATAGAGGCGAAACAATTCAATCCAATAAAACAGTAGAGAATTACAAGTATATCAACAAATATTAAAAACTACTAACCGTTGTACAAAAAGTGGCTATCATTCCTCTGTGGCATATTGGATAACGCTTTGGCGTTTCAAGCAATGGGCACGAGGTTCAAGTCTCAGTGTGGACAACATCACTCAGCACTGGGGTGCAGGTACATCCAGCTGATGAGTGAGTCGCAAATAGGAGGAAACGCTCTTTCTAGATTTCTCTGCTAGCCGCAACCAACCAAAACACCATAACTAACACACAGGCAATATCGAGGCTACCACATAGGAGCCCATATGCTAATAGAGGTCGAACAATTCAATTCAATAAGACAACGAAGAATCGTAAGTATATCAATACATAGTAACAGTTTTACGAATTGTTTCAGGATTTAAGATACGCCTAACTGATGAGTAGCGCAAAAGACGATAAATCTAGGTACACTGCATGTATTCTACCAACTTCTACCAAATATCCAAAAAACCAGTTTCGTAAGTTGTACTAGAAAGGAACAACTGATATTTCTTTTTTTTCAAACTAGAAAAGATGTACGATTGACGCTTCATTCAAGATTTCTACGTAAACATTGAAAATTTCTCTGATAATTTCTAGAAAAGTGATTCCATCTATTTGACAATACGATACGTCTACCTGATAAGAGTAAACAAGTAGGAAATGTAGGTGCAAGGTCTCCTGTTTAATGGCTCTAAACATCTGACACCATAAAAACGAAAGTTTTAAGTTTAACCTCAGACACATTTACATCCGGCCCAGTCACTAGGATGTATAGAATGTGATATTCAGCAGTGGAATAAAGAATAGGATTTACGCTAAAGATAAGGCAGCTACTAAACATAAAAAGGTATAGTAAATGATGAGCGATAAAAGATAAATAATATATAAGTGAGAATATGGTTTACAGTGATATTATTTAACAGATTACTATTCATTGTCTTTATGTTTATACGGAAATCAGTAAGTAAATTATCTAAAAACATACTGACCTGATATCATCTAGTTTTTAGACTACGTTTTAAAGACTATTTAATGTTACTTGATAGTTGAAAACTGTACTAGAATAATCGTACTTAGTATTGAGCCTTTATGATAACATGAGTTATATAGTGTTAATAATTTTATATATACGACAGTCAAGAAGAAAAATTCTCAGATAAATATATTCAAAACAATTGTATCTAAAACCGTCGATGTTTCTAGGTGATGAATTTACCGTAAAACAAGAATAAAGTTTTTTCAAAAAATATAAAAACAATGAAAAGTATAATTATTTATTGTTAGGTTAAACAAGAACGATATATTTATATACATTAAGAAACATAAACTACTATTCTAATAAACGGCTATTATTTTATTTGTTGATACTTGTAATCCTACGTTGTTATACTGGATCTGATCGATCAACCTTTGCTGGCATATGCGGTTGTTTCGATATTATTTGAATATTCATTGTTATAACTGACTTGATTGTGGCTAGAAATGGAATCTAGAACACGCGTTTTATCCTATCTGAAACTCGTTAGGTGGATGTACCTAGACCCAAGTGAGTGATATTGTTCCCACTGAAACTCAAACCTCGTATACATCGTTTCAAATCCCAAGGTGTTATTCATTAGCCCACTGAGGCATTAGTACCACTTTTTGCAATAAGTCATAAATCGAGCTAAAGATCTACGTGAAATTTTCAAACTCCGATCGTAATCTTATCTGTAAACTAAAGCCTTTGCTATGTTATTCTGTTGAAGTTATAACTTTCAAGTGAATTTCAAAATGACATAAACAAACATTTATGGTCAAACCAGTAGGGTAGCAATGGGTTCACCTGTCTCACCCATTGTGGCTAATCTATACATGCACAAAGTAGAATCAGGCCTACTTAACCAAAATAATTTAAAACCAAGAGTATGGTGGAGGTATGTTGATGATACACACCTTCATCATAACCAAAAAGCAAGGACTAGAAAATCTTTTTGAATACCTTAAAAGCCGTTTCAATTCTATAAAATTCACATAAGAACTAGAAACAGAATTCAGAAGGCTATAGCTTTCCTAGACTGCAAAGCGATACAAAACAATGATGGGACACTTGACATTGATGTCTATCTATAAGATACACATTCTAACAAGTAACTTGACTTTGATTCGGCTCATCTATTGGAAACTAAGTTAAACGTTGCCAAAAATCTGTTGACGAGATCGCAAAGGATACCAAATAAAGTGGAATCTCAGCAAGCAGATAGGCGACTTGTTCGAGAAGTCTTAAGACTAAATAACTATCCAGACAAACTATTAAAGAGGATCGAAAAAAGTTTATCGGATAAAAATATGACAAAGTCAAGCCATAAAGATTGGATAAGTACTATAGTACTTCCTTATCGAACATCCACTTCAGAGGAAATAAGACGTATCCTTAACCGTTACAACATCAGAGTATTCTTTAAGGTGACCAATACATTACACTCACACCTGTGTAAATTAAAAGATCCGATTCCTCATTTGGAACAACAAAACTGTGTTTATAAGGTAGACTGCAGTGAATGCGATGCCACATATATTGGAGAGACATCACGTCAAGTACTAAGACGTCTAGCCGAACACGGTAGAAGTTCCAAAAAACCACCAAAAAATTCCTATGATCTAGAAAAACTTGAAAAAAGCTCTGCTATCGCAGCTCATACCCTATATTCAGGTCATAAAATATCATTCGAACAGACAAAAGTTCTGCAAAAGGGTTTTCTCTCACACAAAGAGCAGACCATTGCAGAAGCTTTGCACATCTGCTCATATCCTTCTTCGGTCAACAGAAAAGATAGGTTAGACATCCCACTAATATGGCAAACATTAATGACTCGCCTAGGCAGTTATAAATAATATGTGAAGAGAAGGTAGATTGTCTAGTCCTATTACATACACCTTATTGATCTACTATTTTCATCAATTTTACACTACTCTCTGAGTCATATACATTCGATGACCCATAACATAATCCATTTTGTTATCACTCATACTTCAAGTGTTATCAAAAGTACATTTATGGTTATCATTATTATTATTTATTTAAGATATATTGTCTCATATTCAAACATTCATCCTTCCAAACTAGTAATCTATTCTTTCTCACACTTGATGGCTCACAACCGCATTGTACTTTTCATAGACGAACTAAAAAAATTTCCCCACCTTATTTTTGTTCCACCTCACTCGCACAACGGAGAAACCTTTCTGACCGAGTTGCGTATTCACTCACCTGTATTACATTGATCTTTGCCCCATATCACTATGTAATTGGATGATTGTAAAGGTCACCACTTTGTGTACCAAAACTTGAATATTAACCTGAAAACTTAGTGTCAGATTCATACTCTTGAAAAGGATCTTCCTGGCAAGATCGAAACGTTGAGGTATAATACAAAATATTTGTTTATTTTGTTATTTGTTCTAATATACTACGCCGGGATTACACAAGTGAAAATACATCCTATACAATGAAACACTTAATATCATGACAATATTTATAATACTAGATGTTTCAAATAGAAATGTATTTGCAGCATGCATTTATCACTTCACCAACCATCTTATTTTATAATTATAAGAACAGTAGGTGCAAACGATTAGCGAAAACCTTTATACTTATGCACTCTTAAGATATAAGATATATTTATTTATATATATAAGTAGCCTAGTACATGAAAGAAATAAAATTTGATGAAAGATGATTATAGCCCCTAAAAAAAAACTTGTCTTCTTGAAAACAATATTATTATCGGGATTATAGTGCAACGTTTGAGAAGAGGTTTTTAAAGAATGTTCAATGCTTCACAGTTATATCCCATATTCGACAATTCGCCGATTATAGGATGTAAAGAAAGACCTTCTTATTCTGCCTGTTCTACGTGCATTTATCAATTTCGCTACTCTTCTGGAGGTAATTACATAAGGTGTGGAGTTAAGCAAGTACAACATAGAAAATTTGAACATTATCCAGCATAGAGTAGATAACATATAAAACAGAAATACTTGCATATTTGATAGATACTGGTCACAAAGTGAATACGAGTACGAATTTTAGTTGCGTACTGTATATCACACGTTCTTCAGTGTAGTCTACGTATTCGCTTGATATACACAGTAGGAGCTTCTAGATTCACCTCTACAAACCGAATCTTTGTATTTATAAGAAAATTGTGCAACCTCTGTCATTACCTTGGTCATCAGGTCAAATTAACGTCAAATATCAGTTTTTGTCCAATGAACTATGATTTTCTAACGAAGGACACTCCCTTTTCATCTCATATTACCTGTCTTAATTTTCCCTCTCCCTATTATTACGTAATTATGTTAGCATGTATGTATTTGATACTTTCATATTATTCAAGTTGGTATTCATCACGGAGTGACATCAGTTGGAGGAACATTAGAAACCTGGAAGCACTGAACAGATGTTTCGTCCTAGTATGGAACTCCTCAACAGTGCGCACCCATGACCCCGCCAGAGATCGAACCCAGGACCTTCAGGTTCTGCGGCCAACACATTACCATTCAGCCACTGGGCCAAAATCCAGTGGTTCGTATTTCCAAGACATAGCATGACCATCGCATGACGTCATCATGAGTATTCATCCTCGCGGTCACCAGGTTTGCCCCACTGTTTACGACTTCTCATTGGAACTTGGGGAATCACCTCTAGAATCTAGTCACCAATGAGCATTAGATCAGTTGAATTTGGGGGTTTGTGGAGATTTAGTGATTTGGAAATATAGACCATTGGATTCCGACCCAGTGGCTCAATAGAAACGTGCTGGCCACAGAACCTGAAGACGCTTGGTTCGATCTTTGGTAGGGTCATGGATGCGCACAGTTGAGGAGTTCCATACTAGGATGAAACAGCTGTCCAGTGCTCTCAGGTTTACAATGTTCCTCCAACTGATGTCCGTTCATGATGAATGTCAACCTTGAAAAATCACTAAATCTCCACAAACCCACAAATTCACTTTCATATTAGTTATTATGCCACCAGTCAGTTACCAACCTCTCCTACTTTAATCGACACCAATCTTATGTAATTACCGTACTCAACAATTTGCTTCTTCATTTCTCTAATTGTTAGCCTCATGAGTAACTATTAATTCATAATTATTTTAGCCACCATCTCTAGGTAGTATTGAATATAAAAACTATATATTACTGTACATCCAATGACGAAGACTTAATTGCAAAGAAATGTTTCTACGCCCAATCTGTCTTAATTTAAACGTCAAATGAAATATACAGATAATCCTATTGAAACTGATGTAATAATAGATTAACAACAACAGAGTAAATTCTGCAGCAAATAAAATCTAGAACAAAAAACTGATGAAGAGAATAACTTCTTTATTTTTTGACTGAAGTTCTCAGTTACTTTCTAGTCGATAGTGAAGGTGAATAATGAACAATGAATCCTAGTATTCCATCTTTTGCACTATTCAGGAGTCAGTGAATATCACGAAATTCTCGGTTTCACATGGGTTTTCTTATGTAAGAACTGAAGTAGGAATTATTATTTTTATTACTTGTCCTTTGGGTTCCAAGTAAAACGTAGGGCTTCGGTGGCACGTCTCCATTTCACTCTGCAGTCTTTTCAAACTGGTTCCACGTCTGCCCATAAGCTTTCATTTCTTACTTACATGACCTCCACCATGTCACCCTCGGACGCCCGACTCGTCGTTTCCCATTTGGGTTCCACTCAACGGCCTGGTCTAGCGTGTCATGTTCGCAAACGGTCTTCTCAGTGTATGCCCAATTCATCTCTACTTTCTTCTGCATATTGGATGCGCGATGGGTTATTGGTTGGTTTGTTACCAGCCAAGGTTCTCTGTTGTTTATTCTTTCTGGCCATCTGATCTTCAGTATAGAGCCAGCGCAAGTGGCAGCTGTTGATGAATAACTGTAGTTTGCTGCAAATGCTTTTCGTTACGCGCCAAGTCTCTCAACCATCACATAGAAGTACTGATTGACTCTACTGACATTAGTGTTGAAAAGCCGGATCTGGTTCACGCTTTATGCTGAGTGCAGTGCAGTACAGTAGATCTCCACACTGATTAGAGATCAATGCAGGAAAGGCTGTCTTGCTGTCTTTCCGATCCCGGCTGTTCTGATATCCTCATCTGTGCCGCCTGTAGTTGAGACGATGCTGCCTATATTGGTAGATGGAAGAGACAACTTCTTTTAAATACCTCCCATTGATGGTGATTGGTGCTTGTTGTTATTATTGTAGATTGGGTATCTTAATCACCCCTGTCATCTCTACGTCCACTCGTCTCTTCTGCCAACTTGTTGGTTTTCGTCTGTAGTTCTTCTAGTTTATGCGACAAGACATTAGACATAAATCATCATCGGAGGCGAAATCCAAATCTTCTAGGCTCTTTTCATCGGTCCAGCCAGCGTATACCCCTCTTCTCGCTCCTCACAGTTTGTTGCATGAAGTAGGAATGTAACTGAATTATGTAACGCAACATTGTGCTGTAAATTCATATTTACACAGACATAAAGATAACGACAGAAGCTGGAAGAAAAGCCGGTCGGTATGGCTCACTTAATAGTGTCAAGTATGTAGAACAGAGGTCGCTATTTTGAAACTCATCGTGATTTAAATTGATTTTCAACTTCGTTTACTCGATTCAGATAAAATCATGGATAAGGTTTATCACCAAATAAACGGCCCCCTACAAGCAACATGAATCGACAATAGCACTTTACGAGAACTCAAATCCATCGATTTAGTAACTAGGCTGAGAAAAATTTTTTGACCGTTATAATCAAATTGTCGACCACACATCGACTACGCTACAGCTCTGCGCAAATGATGATTCCAGCCAATAATAAATTCCATCATAATCACCACTACCCAGTATCATCTTATTTATTCAACTGTTCACTCAAATAAGTTATATAGAAGTTAGTCATCAACGATTTAATTGCGTTCAAGATTACTGCACCTGCTTTTCTTCTCATACTTTAGTATGCCAGAAAATTTTAAATACTATGGTCAAGAAAATACGTTTAAGCACAATTATCAATGCACCGGTCAGCTTTAACCTAGTATTAACTACAGTTACTCAATGTAATGAAAACAGATGGCAGTATTTATCAGACAAAAAACTTCATATAGTCTATTTAGGAATTACGAAGTATGGTCATGACGCAGAGGTGTAAGCAAAACCTGAATGTGATAACTAATGAGAACTGTTCCAGTTAATCATAAAAACAGGTAGCCTATCGAATCTCATCGAAGTGGATGACAAGCAGAGCACCTGGCGGAAATATTTCACATACCATTTCTCTGGTAGTCAGCACTAGTAACATGGAAAGTGAGGGAATAAAGTGTATATTTAGTTGGTGCTAACACAAGTAGAAGTTTGAAATGGATTCGAACGCCGAAATGTCACGAGGTAGTCTTTCTAGACAAATTGTTACTGATTCTTCTTAAGGGGTAGGAATTCGAAAACAATTTTAAAGGTTTGACAGATGACAGTGTCGTATCATCCTAAAAAGAGACCATTACCAAAAGTCAACCGATAAATCTCCTCTTTCCTTGTTGCATATGACAGATTTGTGCCCTAGGTAACACGAGTGTTAAAATTATTTTCAAAGGATCCCACATACTTGTTCATTGTGTCTGTTTTGATATAGACCTGTCAAGGCATTGTTATATTTCGTCTCCAGGTGAGGAGGCTGTCAGTAAGTTCTAAAGATTAAGGTTTATTTAGAGTATAAAAGAAAATATTTCACGATGTTTTCAAGGTGAAGCAGAGAAACTAGTTTCAACAATTGTATCAAGGTTTCTTTACTTGAAGTTGGGTAACTACGACTAGGTTTACGAATAAGGTCACGAGTCACATATTGAGAGACTAGTTATACGGTTTGGTTACATAAGCCAGTACGGCTAATCCAAGGCTTGAAGTCATGACCAGTTGACTTAAGTTTGAGCGCTTCAGTCAGTAAGCCATAGATGAAGATATATCTCTAACTAGTTATAAACAAGTTTTCGGAGATAAGGACATCATTTTTTTTTCCATCATCATTAAGATAATGCTAGGTGATCTTTTCTTCTTAAAATAGTTTTAAAAACTTAATCAGTACTTTATAATTCCCATTCTGCCAACATAAGAAATTAAATTACACTCGTAAACTCTTCATACTACTTATTCAGTAACAAACCAAACAACTAACTAACAGCAAAAGCTGAATTCAGGATATCAGACAAACCAATATAACAATATTGGACTTACTTCAATAAAGTAAAATAACTTAATGTACTTTCGAAAGAAAAGGTTTGGCCTTCTTGTCAAAAAATATTCTGAACAGTTAGTTTATTGACAAAAAGAGTATCCTCAAATTCTATGATTAAAGAAAAAAAAAACGTTTACAAGAAATATTACACAGACATGTGTGCGTTTGCAGCGGACTACACACTTACAGAAAAGGTAAATATTTGTGACAAGATATGTTATTATTCGTTCTGTTTGTTTTTTTTTTTTTGCTTGTTGAATATAACGTGCAAACTTGAACAAGTGCATACACACATACATATAAAATTGACATATGTAAGTGAAGTAAGGATAAACTTTACAATCTATACACACACCATAGAATTAACAAGAGATTGGTAAGAAAAGGAACAAAGTGATTTATCACAACTTTAAAATCTGAGGAACAGACAGATAACAATGACTTTTCCATTCTCAAATTATGACTAACAAACACATTCATATAAAGTAAAATCAATTTCTTCTATGCCTAATATAAACAATGAACAATAATAATAATCCAGCTAAAAATGGTATTGCATAAAAATCCCAATCCATATTTGTTTTAAAATGTTCAGTTGATGATGATGAGTCAGTTGTATAGCTCGATTCCGAATTCTCCGATGGCTTATTAAACATACGTCCAATGTATTTCAGCTTTAAAAAAAGATTGGATAGAATAAATATACTCAGATTTTTATTGAATTATTTAATAAGCAATATAATATATTTTTTCAAGAAAAACTCTTTTTTTACTTTTCCAAACAAAATTGTTAAGAAGACGAAAGCTTCTAGAAATATTTCTCCGGAGTATGCTCTTCCTTTAATGCTCATGAAGGTCAACCAGTCGATTATAGCTGTTTAAAATGGATACAAGCTGGATCAATAAATATCTTCAAGGAAATATCATATGATTACATCAAATGATAAAAAAATCTATGCATTAATAGAAGTAAATGTAGTGCGAATGATAGTCATATAACTTTGTGACAGCAGAGTAAATTCTTACCCCTTTATAAATTAAGTGCTCATGAAACCATCTAACCAGATGAAAAATCCAAGAACAAATATGAAGCCTCCAAAAACACTGAACTATAATTCATACAACTATTCGAAAATATTGAGGTAGTATTCATCAAGGACTGAAATCAGTTGATGGACCACTGGGGACCTGGGAGCACCGGACTCGTGACTCGGCCGGGGATCGAAACCAGGACCTTCAAGTTTTGCGGCGAACATGTTAACTATTCAGTCACTGGGCTGGATTTCAACGGTTCACCGTTTTCAATTTTTGTCAATTCGTGATATAGTGCGACTATCACTCAAGGTCTTCAAATGGCATCCACCTACCTTCTGACTGGTTGACCCCACAGGTCATGGCTTCTCGTTAGAACTTCGTGATATTCATATAGAAGCATGTCACTAATGAGCACTATACCGTAATAGATGTTTGACATGAATAGGGATTTTTAATTTAGAGGTGGCACTCATCACCGACTGACATCAGCGAAGGAACCACTGAAAACCTAGGAGTATTCGACAGCTGTTTAGTCTAGTATGGGGATCCTCAGCAGTACGCAGTATGAAAATACCCTCAGAATTTGTCTTACGCAACTTTACACTTATGTACAATGTTTGTGTAGAATAAAAACAAAAAAAACCCATAGAAGTTATGTAAAGAAAAGGTAACTAACCGGGTACAGAGAACTTGGGTATCCTCAAGAATCCAGTTAAAATGTGTTAAAGTAATAAAGCAATAAATCTTGACCATTGAGGTATATATATATATATATATATATATATATATATATATATATATATGTATATATATATATATATATATATACTAGGTGATCATTGATGGTGAAATGCAAATTTGGACCACAGCCGGATTCGAACTAGCGACCACCGGGTTTCCTGCCCGACGCACTACCAACTGAAGTAAAAATCTGGTCAACAGACAGACAGAGCACTAGGCCCGGAAACCTGATGGTCGCTGGTTTGAACCCGGTCGTGGTCCAAATTTTTATTTCACCTACAATCATCACTAAGTACAAATACTAGTCTGCCAAACCACGGCTGTCTCACTCAGATAGTCAGAATGATGATTATATATATATATATATATATATATATATATATATATATCATGCATAAACTGTTATGTTGTTTCACGGTTTGATTTCTAAGCTTCGATGTAAACCCATCGCTGGATAATTTCAAATTTCATCCTGTATTCGAACACAGGTAGCTGTTAGGTATTCATAGCTTTGACTTACTGGCACTTGGCATCTAATAGTTGGGTCGCAGGTTCAATTCCGGAGGTATCTACTTGGGCAAAAGTAACTTGGTGGTATGTAAGTCCACTTACACTAGAAATGGTCCATAGTCTACTACCGTATACGGTAGTAGACTATGAACCTCTATGGAGTCAATAAGTTGTATTACATTTATTTGCAAATGACCTAGATCCACATCAATAATTGTGTTGATCATGTGACAAAATATTTTGCGCTCAAATTTCAGATGCTTTTTAATAAATAGATCCACTGCACTCAGGCAAAACTTGGAAAGCATTAGTAATTAGATGCTCATAGATGCCTACTCTTATTGAGAACAATAAAAATAGGGGATGCGAAGCCATATCTATCTTAACATTAAGGTGACATCAGAAGATAAACTGACAAAACTAACGTAGAACCTCACACAGGTACATCGGCTCGTGTTGCCACAATTAACACTAGTATACAAAAAACAAGTCAATAGATAAGGAGTGATATCAAAGAAGATGAAGTAGTGCGAGACAATAAACAATCTAAAGAAAAACCTGTCTTTAAATACTTGAGCTTTAGAAGACGTCAAAGAGTGAATACATCTGTGCATTGTGACCAATTTTCAGCAATGTCATCAAGAGTCCTCAACCATTGATTCCTTTCGTCAGTCAGTCAGTCTACATCTCCTCACACGACTCAGACCAACAGTAAGAGACTTCATCGACTGGTAGCACGTCTTTGTCTGGCCATCCTGAACCCTCTTCCAACCCAAACCAACTTCTCCTAGCATTACACGTCAAATTAGGCGGTGAATTGGCTAGGCATACTCGTCATTCAATTTGCCGGTCTTGCCTAGCATCCTTAGCCTGACCTCAAAATTGTTTACACGGTTATTCCACCACAAGAGAACAATGCTATGAAGACAACTATGATCAAAACCCTGCAACCACTTCATGTCGTCTACTTTTAACGGGGATATCTCACAGTCATACAACAGGATAAAGCGGACTGCAGTGCCGTAAACTCATCCTTTGATTAACTGATAGATAGATAGTCGGATATCTCACCAATTGGTGCCACAGATGACGCAAGTCGGCAAATGCAAATGAGCCTTCTATATCCGAGCTGAGACTTCGTCAGTAACCAACCCTTTTGAGCTGATGCAACTCCCCAAGTAAGTGAAGTGGTTGACACATTCCACACTTTACGTCCTATCATCAAACTCGAAGTGGTTGCAGATCAGTACTGGAGCATCAACTTGCATTTGACGGGTGTGACACGCATGTCAAACATATTCAGATTTCTGCTCAATGTGTTTAGAAGACCCTACATTCTGTCAGCGTCTTAACCTAGTAGGACAATAACGTCTGCATACTCTAAGTAAACCAGGTGACCTTCATGGAGTAAATCAATCCTTATGAAGTCAGAGGTACCTCATTAGTACGTCTATAACGAAGTTAAGTAGTAACGGTGACAGGGGACATCACTGGAGAACACCACTAACTATCGTGAATTATGATGACAACTCTCCATTGGCCCTTACACGGCTGCGTGAATTCGAGTAGAGAGCTTTGATTAGCGTCGTATTCTTCCTCGATTCTCCCTTCACAGTCAGGCACTGTCACAACAACCTCATGGTCGATAGAATCAAATGTCACCTTCAGATCGACAAATGTCGCAAGTGTTGGCCACCGGTCGGTATTCATGTGTTCCGGAACTTGACGTAGGGTAAAAACATGATCAATGCACTCTCGTTCAGGTCTGGAACCTACTTAGTTTCCTCGAATCTACTGCTCTCCAGCTCCAGTTAGGCATCGGGTAATTACGGACCCTATGATCTTGGACACAATATTACTCAAACTAATTCCCCTATGGTTATCACAACAAGATATCTCTCCCTTCTTAAAGACTGATATGATCATTGATGTAAACCAGTGTGACGCCACTATCTCTGATTCCCATAAACTAACTAGTAACTTCGTCACTTTAACTAGCAATGTTTAACCCCATCCTGAAAACTTCAGGTGGCAAACTGTCAGGTCCTGCCGTTTTGCATTGCTTCAGGTTCGATACAGCTTTCTCAACCTCAAGGAGAGTTGGATGACCGACAGTCAGACTAAGGTTGGATGCTGAACAACTGAAGTGTTGCTAAGGGCCAGCTGAACTGCGCTTTAAAATGTTCTGTTCAACGTTCCAGTAGCCTGTCCTGGGAGGTTATCAGCATTCCATCCTTTCCAGTGGTGATTTAACCAACCATCGTCATCTTCATGCCAATATCCTTAATAAGCCTATATAGTTGTCGACTGTTACCCAAAGTTGATGCCTTCTCCATCTCTCTTGCTTTAGTCACCCACCACTGCTCGTGACAGACTGTTGGTCAACTTACATTTAAGTTGAATTCGTTCTTCATCGTGGTCAGAGCGAAACGAAATGCGCTCTATCACCTTGTGCACATCCATGCAGTAAGCAATGAGCCATATCTATTGTGTGAGGGGTATTGATACTACGCAGCGGCCCAAACCTCAGTAAGTGGAGCAGGGCTCGAACCCGTGACCGTGCTGATAGTCAGAGCCTGCTGAAATCACCCTTCTCGCATCAATCACTTCAGACGACATAGTGGAAATCCAATGATGTTTCCTAACTTTCGGGTGTAGGTTACCCATTGTCTATACAGCTGTTTCTGTAAAAGACTTAATATGACTCCAGGTTTCCTCAGGATGATTAGAATTGCTGTCACGTTTAGATAAATGCTTAGCTAACTCCTTGCTAACCACGTACTTGGTGTCCTCATCTACCACATTGCCTCTTGTTTCCGGCGGCCAGTTAGGCGCAGACATACTTGAGCCGGTACTAGCGCGCGATTGGAATCCAAACTGGAACCCAGAAAGAGCAGCGATTCTCTACCGATCCTCTCCAACGACGGCTTATAGCAATGTAATCTTTGGTTAGAAGACTGACAAGCTGGTCGATAAAATAAACGTAGAACCTCGAACAAAGGCGTATAGGCTCAAGTTGATAGACTTCACAGTAGTACACAAAGAAAAAGAGTGATATCAAAATAGAAGGCAGCAATCAATTAAAACTATTACTACAAGTAAAAGCATACTGAAGTTCTTATCTTAAAGTTAATTATAAAACTCAATCCTTATGTCTGTTGGTCATACACCAAAAAATTGTACAATAACTTTTAGGTCCCAATTCACCAGTGCTCAGATGCCTAAACGACTAAAAAAGCGCAAGATTTACCAGAAGGTTGATATATATATATATATATATATATATATATATATATATATATATATATATATATATATATATATATATATGCTCTATGAGTATAAATCGTTTAACTGCACCTATTACTTTACAGGAGCACCGAAAAAGGCTGGCTGTTCGTAAACATATGAACAGTATAGTGATTTATATATATATATATATATATATATATATATATATATATATATATATATAAGCCAATTTATACTCATAGAGCAAAAAACGTTCACACTTCAAAAAGGTTAACTAATTTTCGTCCATACTTATCTGTTAGCTCAGTAATATGTAGTAATTATCACAGTACACCTAGTATGAAATATTTTATCCAACTGACATTTCAGCTCTAGCAAAACAGTAATTCAGGTGTCGAATATTTCCATGGAACTCAATGATAATGCTGTAAGTTTGCACATTTCAGAAACAACCTTTAATTAAAAGTCTCTGTTATGTGGCGAAAACCTGAATTTATTGTTAAAGAAAACTATGTTGAAAATAAGAATAAAACAGTATTCCGGTAATGGTTTAAAGTAATCGTTCATATGCTTTCGTCATACAGAGCTACATCGATGACTGAAATAGCTCCGTATGAATGTTTGCCACAGCCATACCTTGTGATGCAGGTTAATTTTAAAAACATGAGTTTCGCTGGAATGATAAATAAAATTTACTGATCAGAGAGAGAAAGCACGTAACTTAGGCCAGAAAATTCATCTTAACTAATTGCAAACATGTAATACTTAACAAAGTGTACCAACATCCCATGTCAGTTGCTTCGGTAGGGACACTGAATATCTGTTCGGTAGACTAATAACTTGTAAGGACTTACAGAACTTCAGCGACTGAGAAATAAGGTGATCGATTCGCCAACAAAAAAAATGACTGACGAAAGTCAATATGAAGTGAAAATTTGGACCGCAGCAGGATTCAAATCAGCAACCACTGTGTTTCCAACCCGATGCCCACCAACTGAGCTACGAGCCTTAACTGCTGACCATTTCACCTTCAACCATCACCCAGTATCAAAACAAGTCTGACAGACCACGGCTATCTTCAGATATTCAAAATGTTAATATATATATTTACCTTGTTTATTGAAATTCAGATGATCCTCTTACCATATCTCAACATTAAAAAAAGAAGGGTTAAGGAGAGAAGAGTAGAATATGTAGATGTTTATAAGATACTTTGTAATAAAACAGCGCTATTTACAAGTGAGAAAGTACCTAAGTATGGAAACGTGATTTTAAAAATACTTACGAGGCTTGATTCACTGAAAAATTCCATGACAAAATAGAACGCAAGGCGGATAAGCGCCAAGCATACAGCTACTCGCGCATCGATCGAAGCTTCAGCAGCCATATCGTAAAAACGTTTGGCCAAGTGAAGATCCTAGAAGAAATTAAAATCAATTTTATGAGAGGAGACCATAATCAATACAAAAATATTACAAATAAGTTTATGGATTAATAAATCATATGTATAGATATAAAGAGTCGGTGTCAGATGAACTAGTTATTACCAATAGAAAAAAAATAACGCCAACTTAGATAAGTTGAGATATCATCTGTAATGTATGTTTTATTTTAGATTATCTCGATGGACAGAAGGTGTCATCCTTTCTAAAAGTTGTACACATAATGTCAATAATAATAGTATGATCTATCAGTCTGTTAGAAGTCCAGGCAATAGCTTTGGATAATAGTCAGTAAAGACAAGCTTATTATTTTATCTCCAGAAAAAACTGACTGCATATAACCATGAAATGGTAGAAAATACTCAAAATGATACATATGACTACGTGGATCTGTGTATTAACATAACCTTTTTCTTTCTAAAACACATGAATCAATTTTACTGCTATATTACAATCAGATTTACTTTTGTGCCCAAAATTCTGGTTAAAATAAACCTAACACCACTGAAAATTCACAGAGATAAAGGTAACCAACTTACTCGCTTCAATCCTAGTCCCTGTTCATGCATATAGCCCAAGTTAAACATTGCCTGTGCATTATGATGAAGGTCAGAGGCAATGCGATAATGCTGAATCGCTTTTTGATAATTTGCATCAGTACCAAGTCCATAGTAGTAATAATCACCCAACTTTACACGGGATGTTGTGGAACCTGAAACAAATTAAATTTAATGAGATAAAACTGTTCAATACAAACTGTTCGACTGACAATTTAGTATATGAATAAGCTTAGATGAGTTCCATTGGAGTTAAATATGATCTTACAACCAATAAATTAGTGATTTTAGTATGAAAATCTATTGGTAAACCGCGTTCGGCTTGGAGATAACTCATAAATGGGGTAATTCTGTAGAAGGTGAATAATACACGTATCATATCTACTTCAGCCAAATTTATCTGTGCTAAGAAATGTGTAAGTTCGAAAATAATTTACAAGAAATTAATGTCGGTTGAAGAACCATCGAAATCCAAAATCTTTATCTAACCAGTTTGGAGGGATGAAGTTTGTAACTACGAATTTCGTACGTTTATTACTTGCTATCCGCAAAATGTAAAGAATCAGCACTTTGAAACATGGGGTGATAACGCTCATTACAGATTACGATGCAGAAGATGGGATCACTATTGAAGTCAACCCATAAGAACAGCTAGACCCCAGAATTTAAGCCTTTCAGTGCTTTCACCAGGGTATAACTGAAACCTCAGACACTCACCTTCTCACAAACTCATTCCAAATGACACGACGGCCAGAGAAGCTGACACTACTAAACAACATGACTAGTCAGAAAACGTTTATGCTAAGATACAGGTTTCAGAGTTGTTATTGGAAAATTCAGTTTATGATTGACCCCTGTTGAAAAGAACTGCATATATTAGTTGACTACTGAATAGCAAGGGAAGGCGAAGGGTACTAGGAAAGACACGCAAGTTCAGTGACGAGGTCGTGAACCTTAGTCAACTGAAACGGCTTGGACATGTATTGAGCATGCCTAGCCGATTCACCGCCTAACTTGACGTGTAATGCTAGGAGAAGTTGGTTTGGGTTGGAAGAGGGTTCAGGATGGCCAGACAAAGACGTGCTACCAGTCGATGAAGTCTCTTACTGTTGGTCTGAGTCGTGTGAGGAGATGTAGACTGACTGACTGACGAAAGGAATCAATGGTTGAGGACTCTTGATGACATTGCTGAAAATTGGTCACAATGCACAGATGTATTCACTCTTTGACGTCTTCTAAAGCTCAAGTATTTAAAGACAGGTTTTTCTTTAGATTGTTTATTGTCTCGCACTACTTCATCTTCTTTGATATCACTCCTTATCTATTGACTTGTTTTTTGTATACTAGTGTTAATTGTGGCAACACGAGCCGATGTACCTGTGTGAGGTTCTACGTTGCTTTTGTCAGTCAGAGGACACCGTCCTAGGAACCAAAATCTCTCGACTATTCTTAAAATGTGACTAATATTTGAATGAGAAATGCATAAACTGATACCAATTTCCTTCCAGTGACCAAGTCTACAGTTGTACGCGCAACCCTCCTATCGACCTGAAATAAGGAATCGATAAGTAACTACTAGTTTACACAATCTATCGTAGGTAACTGTAAGACATTATCTATGACTGACATAAAGCATGATACGGAGCATGGGAGTGTAGTAACTAATATCCGCTAAGATTAATAAAAACTCGAATAAGTATAGTTTCCTGTTTCACGTCAAAAATCGAGATAGTGAACACAGGAAGCAGATATTAGGATAGAAATGATACATCATAACCAACATAGGACCAGGCATTACTGCGTAACGGTCCAAGTTGCCACACGTCATATCAGTACATCAAGTAAAAGGCCAGTGAAGTGGAAGATAGAGAAAAGAAAATTCAGTCGAAAGAAATACAGAGTACGAAAAGAGAGAAGGGAAGAATGAGAAAATGGTGAGAGTCAGTACAGCGTTAAGATGAGGATAATGTGTGTATACATCTGCGCCACTGATATCGGTTCTGAGCCATATCACCCAGTCTCCAACCACTGGTTCCTCTTTTCCCGCGAACCCCAACCGGTTAGTCTGCATAGCCCTACATGGCTCAAACCAAGTCAAAGACTTCATAGACAATCGGATATCGCGGCGACGCCACAGGTGGTGTAAGTCGGCAAAACCCAGTCGAGCCACTGAGCCATTAGGGTTGATCCTACTTCTCAGGTAAGTGAAGTGGTCGACACACTCAACCACTACACTCTTTATTGTTTGCTGAGGCATCATTGAAGACCAATCCTGGAGCAACAATTTGCATTTGGGTGGTGAAAAACATATCCCAAAAATTCTCATATTGCCATTCAACGTGTTCAGAAGACTGCATCTTGTCAGCATCCTCACCTAATAGGATTTTTAAAAAATGCTACGATTAAATCAAAGCAGATAAAGAAATCCAAATGACCCATGAATAGCGACCAGTAGGTAGTATATTCTTGTTGAAGCTTAACAATAAATCACGTGAAAATAGATACCCAAAAAATATTATGAGGCTAGAAAAATCCATAAACTTACCCTGTGTTGCTGACCTTTGCCATTGAGTAAAAGCACGTTTATGCAGTTCATGCTTTGGAATGCCTGGAGCTTTATCTACGAACATTCAAGAGAAAAGAATAAAATTAGATTGACAAGTATAACAGAAAAGAGACAATGAAAAAATTAACTAAAACATCGAATACTAACAATGATTTATTAACCATATAAGTTCACTTGTACATATTATTCATTACGCAAATGGAAACCAGTTATCTGAACAAAAAATAGCCTCAGTTAGTAGGGTTAACCCATACGCCTTGAAAAAGTGGAAATCCGCTCAGCAATCTGTTTAATAGACAATGAGCCACACCTAATGTGTGAGGGCTAATATGATACCACTTAAATGCTTAAACATTGGGGTGGAGCTCAGTTCGAACCCGCAACCCACTAATTGAAAGTCAACTCCCTAAACCAGTGAGCCACAATTCATTCATATGCCTTAAGTAATTATAGGTAGTAAGTTTAATAATGTAACAAAAATCTCTGTAATATGTTATCCGTATAAGAATTATGACAGAAAGTTAAGTAGAAAGTGAGAGAATATATAGAGGTAACAAGAACTTAACTTACCTTCTTCAAGAATAAATGCCACATTACTTTGAGCTACTTCATAACCTAATTCTGCTAAAAGTTGATATGTTACAAATGCCTCATGATATCGACGATTACGGAAAGCAGAGTAAGCAGACATAAACATTTTTGACCAACGACCACGTTCAGCTACATTTTTAAAAAGCTAGGGATAGATATTTAAAAGAAACGGTGAACATTAGAAATTGAACGCTTGCATTCGTTTATAAGAACTTCTAATTAATATTACTATTAATAGAGTCAATAATACACTTTGAATTATTGCTACTGTAGACAGGCTATTAAACCTCTACAATGTGATCAAGAAAAATTCTATGAATACAGTAAGGTAGCACTGATCTGCATATAAACAAAACAGTAAGAGAATAAGCTGGGTATCGAAAATTCCATTGTAATATAAACTGAAGGAAATAATCGTTAGTAGAAGTTTCTATTTCCACCTATCAGAAAATTACGATACAGTTGTGCACTGGTTCCACTGGTTCAACTCGCCACGCTATTAAGTACTACACAGAAAACAATCAAAGAAGTATGAAATAAAAAAAAGAAGATACTAAAAGGTGGAGAATATGTAAACTCATCACAAACACTGATTTTAAGCAACTTTATTAATAGTCCAAAACAACCGATTGCTAAAACCTAACTAAACAACTCTACAGCCTTGTAAGCACCTTAAACTAATGTTCAATTACTTTACAAATTTGTACTGTACATGAATCTGATTAGCTTTAAGTTGACTCTAGTCTATTTGCATTTCAGCCGGTAGTCACATGTGAAGGTAACTAGTGACTCATAACACAGTGATGTGTATTAAGGAGTACTTTCCAGGCGTTTATAATGCAATACTTGTATTCAGTGGTGTCACAGTTCCATGATCTAAGCAGTCAGGTACTAACTACCTACTTCAACTTGAAACCATCAAAGTACAAAAGCTCTCACACATTGAATGAAGTATATGCTTACATATACTATGACTAAATGATCTTGCCACACTCAATTTGGTGTACAAACTATATGCCAGCTTAACATTTAGATGTGGCTTTAGTAGAATCATATATTTGTTCATAAACTTAACTATCTATCGACAGGAAATGAAATGTAAGAAGGCCATTTCATGAAGTTACTGGTTAGAAATCTTTGGTTTGTTCAAAGATCACTTTGGAAATTCTCTCAAGGATGTGAATTGCAAACATAGTGGTTATATTTAGCGGTTATATTCAAACAGGAACCATAGTAAAGAAATGCTAACTAGTTACGCGAAACCTTTAGTGTACACTTATTATAATCTACCTGTACATTTTTCTAAAGGTACAAAGCTGGATAGGAAAATCCTGATGATACATACCCTCTTTAATAGTTTCACTCAGATCGATCAACGGAAAGAAATGAAGAGTTTACTTGGCATTTGTCAGATATAACTCAATACATACTCCTTGTATGAAGTTGGAGAAGTTTGTTTTAGAAAGATCTTAGCCTGATTCACAATGAGATCAAAGTTTGTAGACAGACCAACTATTGATAAAAGAGAAAGGTAATATAACGTCATTCAAACAATTAATTCGTTCATACCGCTTTCTAAACAACCAACAACTAAAAACCATCAATAGTCACAATGATTATCATGACATATCACATGGTCTGTATGCGTAAAAAACTTGAAGCAAAACCATAAATAATAAAATAATACGCAAAGAAATTCAGCAACTGAGAAAGGCAGTGTAGTAGGAAACAATTTCAGAGTCTATGATTATAAAAAATTCTTTTCCCTTCTTACACCAACAGAATTACTAAAAAACAATGAGCTTGTCACTTCACTTAATACAAAAAATGCCAAAAATTTTTCCATAAACATGCTAAGAAATTTGCACACTGGCAAAGATGCAACATAGTACATTTTACATCTATTCACTGTCTCATTGTAACAAAGATGATCACTGATAAGAAAACACATACAACTTATATGAGATAACAATTTACAAAATTTCCAAAAAAATGTTAGATATCATAGTCACTCACTTCAGCAGCAGTACTGCATGATCGTAATACCCCTGTACCTTTAGCATGCATCTCCGCCAAGTGGTAGAAAGCCATCACATTACCCTGTTGTGATGCCATAGTAAAGTATTTTAAGGCCAACTTGTAGTCCACTTTTATACCATGATTACCTGCGAACCAAAGTAAAGTACGGAGAATGAGTTGAAATAAGCGATTAGAATAAAATCAAAAATTGAATTGCCATTTGGTAATCAAGTTTGTACACTAGGCAATCAGCCGAAACCATTATTTTGTGGGGTTTAGCAAACATTATCTGGCTATTCAGATATCAGTATGTGGAATGAAATGAAATACACTCGGCAACCTTGTTTACACTCGTGCATTAGGCAGTGAGCCACACCTATTGTGTGAGGGCTGTTGATATTACCCGGCTGCCCGAACCTCGGTAGGTGGAGTGGGGTTCAAGCCCGTGACCCATTGGTTGAAAGTCATGTCTCTAAACCAATGAGTCACACCTCCAGCTCACTGTGCGGAGAGAAATCCGAATTCATGACTCATTAAGTGGAAGTCAACTGCTTACACCGATCAGCTACGGCTCCACAATAATTAATTTATGAGTATTGATCCGCAGTATTACTATCGAAAAACTGGAAATGACTCTTTGCTACAAAGACGATCTCTTAATATCTTAACTAACACTATATGTCTTAATTCGTTAGGCGGATATCCTTTATCTTTTGATATACTTAGATGGATCTTTGATCGGTACTAAGCTTATCGCTTATCAAAGCGTTGGCTCATTGTATGTAAATCAAACCCGAAGTCTTCTGGAAGAATAAAATAAACTACGGAAAATACCAAGCATTAAAGTGAACACTACACTACGTAAGTTCTAAGTTTATAAGAGTTGGTAGGAAACAAAACTTATAGTCAAGTAGATCGTAGATAAGCTGGTGGATATAACATGCATTATATTTGAAGCAGATTACCGGTAACAACCAATAGTTTTAGAAAGGTAAAGAAATGATTCAACTTGAAACCATTGTTATTAGTTAAAACTTTAGGCAGCCACTGCCTATCATTGCACATATGAGCGAGATACAACAAACACTTGAATTTCATTCCTGACAAAAGTGGAAGTTCTACCAACTAAACAAAGTATGTCAATCATCAATATCAACATAGGACCAGGTATTACTGCGTAACGGTCCAAGTTGCCACATCTCATATCAGCACAACAACTAACAAATCAATAAGATGAAAGATGAAGAAAAAGTAATAGGTTAGAAGCAATAAGAAGTAGTAAAAGAGAGGAAGGGGGAATGAGAAAATAGTGAGATTCGGTATAGCGTATACATCTGCGCCACTGACATCGATTCTGAGCTATATCACCACTGGTTTCCCTTGTTCTGCGGACCCCGACAGACTAGTCTGCGTAGCCCCACATGGCTCATACCAACAATCAAACACTTCATGTATTGGTGTCATGTTTTAGTCTGACCGTCTCGGGCCTTTTTCCAGCCTGAACCTACTTCGGCCAACATTGTATGACGAGGCAGACGCAACTAGGCATACATGACACGTATCCCAACCATCTCAGTCGATGAAGGTTCCCTAAAACTCTACTCCTGACTTCTGCGTTACTCACGTGGTGACACCACGGAATATGGTCTATACTACGAAGGCAACAGTGGTCAAACACCTGAAGCCTTTTCATGTCTTCAATCTTCAATGGCCAAAGTATGTAACAGAGGTTCAGAGTTTAAAGTGATTGTTTTCTACACATTATTTAATGCTGGGGAATATTTGCAGCTCAGGTGGATGGTCTTGGTCGTATTATATTCTCTGAGTGGAAAGAACACAATACAACCAAGACATTATTTAATGCTCTTTACCTTTCGATATCACTGTTTGCTTTTTGCTGACTTCAGTTCCATATCCAGGTTTGTAATGCTATACTCTGATAGATTTTATTTCGACTCTCGTCCACTAAGGCATGAGGGTTACAGAAATATTAATTTCTCAAGATAGCCTAAATCTGAGTTCACCACTCTGCACAAACTTTGGACCTATTTACACGGAAATCTACATAACCTACAGAATCAATACTGCTAGCGCCTACAATCACGCTAATAAACAACACATTTTTTGGATGTGATATTAAACGAGTACATCAATTGAATATAGTTTATCAACAATTGCCGCTTGCTTCATATCTGTACATTTGTGTAACCAAAGAGTTTTAAAACCAAACTCAAAATAATTGCCTACTTGCAATTTGCACATGGAAAACGTTAACAATGACTATAAGTCTAAATGAGAACTCAGTAACTAACTGTATGAATTTATATAAATTTGTATCATAGTTAATGAGATTGCTGAATATAAACCTGATTTAGCTTTTAACAATTAGAGAAAGAATAAAATCCTGTGAAGTAACGGTAAACATACTCAAGAAACTCAAATCAACCTTCACTAATGATTTGCTGGATTACAGTAGTACAATGGCTTGTACGAAAAACGCATCTGAAGTGAATATCCAAGCTAATCACATTAACATACCTAGAAACATGCGACCAAGATGTAATTGTGCTTCAGGCCAACCCTGATCAGCTGCTTTCAAAAATAGCTCCATTGCAGTAACTGGTTTAACCGGTAGACCAGCTCGACCGTAAAGATAAGCCAATGCTAAGCCAGTTTGTCCAATCGGATTATTCTCTTCAGCTGATTTGCGCAAATATTTCAAAGCTCGCATTGAGTCTGCAGGCACAGTAGCACTACCAACCATGTACATCTTTCAAAACAAAACAAAACATTGCCTAATTATATAACACAAGTATATACATAGGCTTTTATAAACTGCTTTTAGAATATGCTTATCTTATGACATAAACTACTCTTAGTTCATGAATATACTACTTAACCGCCTCAAACTGATCTTCCCCACTTTTAATTTGTAATCTTTGACCAGATTGAAAAAAACTCCAATCTTTAAACCATATGACGGCATTTTTCTGTTTTATGGTCAGAGATAATTGACATGAAATCCTTAATTTGAATTATGAGCTAGCAACAGACGGAGCCACGTTCCCTCCGAACGGTCTGACATATAAAAGGAGAAAATTGTATTGCAACCCGCGTTACTCAATTATTGTTAGTAGTTTGTGAACAAGTGCCGAAATTAGGATCAGGATATCTTTTTGACGAAAAATATAGTGCACTAAGACATCACCTTCGTCGGCTTATTATTATTATTATTCACAATATACTGTTTCACAGACTGTATGCCGCACTGATGAATATATCATGATTTCAATTATCAGGCAATCGACTCGTTTAGACACATTTCATCAGTAATTCATTTGTTGTTAAATTCCTTTTTCAACCGACATGGAGTAGATGTGAAGAGATATAATGAATGCATAACTTATTAAGACGTTTCCCAGCATTATTCAAATTTACGAGAAACGATGCCATGAAGTAATATTAGATGCTCAACTTGAACTACATAATGCACCTTATTATCGTTTCAGCTAATAAACCTCTGAATGCATTGGTTCGACAGATGATAGTTCACTATCATTTGACTATCGGAGATAGCCGTAGTTTGGCAGACTATTATTTATACTGGGTGATGATTGTAGATGAAATGAAAATCTAGACTGAGGTCGGATTCGAACCAGCGACCATCGGGTTTCCAGTCTCATGCTCTACCAACTGGGCTACTAGGTCCGACTGCTGACCAAACTTTTACTTTACTTCAATCACTAACGATTTTAGCTGATACGATGCTCCCCCTCACTAATTCAGTTCTATTTGGATTGGGATGAAAAAGTCCTGACTAGGCAGCCTGTGTGAATACGATCAAGCGGTAGTAACATGCCACGAATTCACATAGTAGTCAGGCGAAACCTTTGGTGACTGAAGTGAAATGAAAATCTGGTCAGTAGTCGGACCTCGTAGCTCAGTTGGTAGAACATCAGGCTGGAAACCCGAAGGTTGCTGGTTCGCATCCGGCCGCGTTCCAGATTTTCATTTCACCTCCAATCATCACCCAGTATAAATGATAGTTCAACAAAGTTTAACATTATCGGCGATTGTACATTCTGTTGTTCACCTACAATCAAAATCACTAAACACCACACGATTATGGATGTCTTTTTAATTCGATTCGTGTGGTAGAAGAGCAGAGTGAGCACTGTTACGGTTAGGTGTAGTCTTACGTAAAGAAGGTAAGTCAGCCGACGATGCTAAAACTATTACCAAGTAAACTGGCTGAAAAGTTTGTTATGCATGTACAATGTTAACAGAAATAGAATGAATTTTTAAGAAAGGTAAGGACAATCAGAACAAAATATGCAACTAGTCCATGAAGTTTCTCACTGTCGACCCAAGTTAAGCAAAGAGATGCAGGTTGTCTCACTGAAGGTTTTTGAGGTGTTAAGAATCAATGCGTGGAAACTCTCAGTAACATGTTCGAAAATCGGTCGCAGTTGGGACCTATTTCCCTGCTATCACCTTCGAAGTTACGAACATTTTGCTAACTCTTTTTTCTATTCTCTCTGCTTTAAAATGAATTTTGTTCACTTTAATGCCATTCTATTTATTTTCATACTCCGTTTCTGAACTTTTGCAAGTTATGGTAAATGGAACTGATGCGCTTCTATACAACTTTCGATGTTGGTAAGTCCACTTTACTTAATATTAATTACAGTGATCTAATACAGCAACAACGGAATCATTAACTTTCTAAATACAAAATTCCTTGGAATTTCCTAAAATGAATCTGTTATTTATAGGGTAAAATATAACTGGATAAAGTAAGTTATTACACAAACCTCGCCTAAATAAGCCATAGCTATGGCACTTCCAGACTCAGCAGCCAGGTTGAAGTAGTAAAATGCTTTTTCGTGGTCCATTTCAACACCGTGTCTACCATAATAGTACAACTGACCCAATCCAACCATTGCACTAACATTCTTTTTATATGCCATAAACTGATAATACTGGAACAAGTCTTCACTAATTGTAAGGTCACCATCCAAACTGTTCATCATATCCACTTCATCCAGCAGACGAGCACGACGAACTATTGGTCCAAGGAGAGTTGGACCACCAGCTTCAGAACGCTCGGAAACTTCTTTAAAGACAACTTGAGCAACTCGATGATAATGTGTTAGTGCTGCTTCACAATCTTCTTCAACACCAACACCAGTCCAGTAACGATAACCCTTATCAAACAATAATATAAAAAAAAATAAATGAGATGGGAACACTACCAACTCAAATAACTTTTCCTATCCACATGTGCTGATTATCTACAAGCAAACTAGCATCATGAGATTTTAGGATTTTTAGAACATGCTTCTGGAACCAAAAATAAATTATATGGTTATAAAAACACTGAAGTTTCTGAAGTATATAAGTGAATAGTATTCGGGAATTAACTAAGACTGTTATTTGGTTCAGTCTCTTTTGTATATAATGGTGATAATATATTCTTTTTTGTTTCCACTTTCTATTGGAATATATTTATAACTGCTAGGAAGCTCGAAGAAATGTACAAAAGTTAACTGATACATCTTGAGAAATCTAATCATAAAGTGAGACCTCACATGCAGATTGCAAGGAATTACTGTGTACAAACGATTTTTACAGATCGGTAATGAATAACTCGATGTCGAAAGTCGGAATCGAAAATGCCAAAGCGATAATCATCGATAGACCTTATCACATATTTTATTTACGACATAAAAACTTGCATACCTTCCGAATAAATAGTTTTATTCAGGTAGAGTTGCATTGAAAGTTACTGAAATGCATAAATACGTTTCAAATGAGAATTGTTGGTACCAGGAAAGCGTTAAAAATATTCCTTAACTATGAAACTGCCACCCTTCTTCTAAAATGGTAAAATTAATTTGGTGGCTTCGGAAGAACTATGCCTAATTCCGCATCCTTCTGTGCATTCGTCTTGTAGAGCTGTGCATTCACTCTCTGAACATTTTACATTCAATTAGTAAGTTTACATTGTACCATCGAAGGAAGATTTGGTAGGCAGTTATTACCACTTATGAACAAACCCATACGTGGTTGCTGAGCTACATACATTTTAGACATCTGTAACTTGTCTTTTGATGTTGCAACATCTGAGTAAGTCAGTTAAGGCTTTCAAGCTTGAAGTGTGAAAGACGTTTGACGATGAGTCAATGCCTCAGAAACCAACGATTTATATCATGAACAGGTTCGGTTGTTCAATTTATAGAAATCACTTTATGAGAACTAAGCTCTAAGAGTCTGAAGTTGCTTATGAAGAATTAGGAGGTGACTAGTGCTAATGACTTCTCTACAATTTAATGACTGATATTCAGCACTGCCAAACAAAATATCCCTACTATGCGCACACTAAACTTGTATTCTTTAGACAAAGAGCGACAAACACCGGATTTTTTGTAAGAATGTATTTAAGCGTATCATGTAGATGGACGTAAATTTATTATTCGACTCAGATAGACAGATCAACATACGACCAGGCATTACTGCCCAACGGTTCAAGTCGCTACACCTCCTATCAGCACTTTAAGCAAGAAAGCACTAAGATGAAAGATAAAGAAACAGATGAAAATCAGTGGTGATAGGATAACACGGTGGAATGTGAAAATACTGAATTCAGTATTCGCAACTGTGCCCAGAGACTGATTCTGAGCCATGTTACCTAGAGTCTCCAACCACTGGTTTCAGTTGTCACACGGATCTCAACCGAGAAGTCCTCATTTTTCTACACGTTTCATATTAACAGTAAAAGATTTAATACGATAATGCCATTTTATATTCTGATGACCGCTAACCTTTTTTCAACCTCAATCTACTCCAGCTAACATTGTGCAACGAGGCAGACAGCAACTAAGCGTGCGTAACACCTCTCAGCCACCTCAGTAGATGAGGCTTCACAACCTCATCGACTGACTTTCCTCCTTAAAGTCCTACACCTGACTTCCACATTACTGATGGGGTAACACTATGACACATGGCCTATGCTGCGAAGGCAATGGTGGTCGAACACCCGAAGCCTCTTCACGTTCTTTACCTGTAGTGGACATTTTCCACAACTGTATAGTAGGACAGAGCGAACTGCAGCGAAGTACACTCGACATGCAATAGACAACCGGATATCACAGCAACACCATAAATGACGTAAGTTGGAGAAAGCCAAGACAGCCTTTTGCATCGATGCAGGGAATTTGTTGGTCACTGACCCAAAACGACTGATTCGACTTTCCACCTACGTGATCATCAACGCGGTCAACCATTTCACTCTCTATTGTTAGACACCACACTAGTGAAGACTAGTCACTGAGCAACATTTTACATCCGGGTGGCAATAGACGCAACCCAAGTATTCTTAAATTGCTGCTCGCGGTGTTCAGAAAACACTGCATCTTGTCAGGGTCTTCAACTAACAGGACTATGTCATCTACGTACTTTAGACGAACCAATGATTCTCCTGTGGTAATATTAATCCCTGTAAAGTCAGACAACATGAATAAGACTGACATAAGTACGTGTATGATAAAACTGAAAAAGAATGGAGGCAGTTGAAATCATTGACGACACTACTCGACGTACACAACTCATCTGAAAACTTATCGTAGGGTTTAACACGCTCACAGGTGTTCCAGTAGGTAGCTCTTCACAGAATGGTGTATTCATTTAGCAAACCTTTCAGTGAGAGATATTCACAACGACTCTCGATCTACGGAGTCGAATGTTGCCTTTAGGTCAATAAAAACAGTCAGTGTAGGGCGTCGGTAAGTGCGACTGTGTTCCAAAACCAAGTAGTGCAAATAGCTGGTTGATACATTCGCGACCAGGTATGAAACCAGCCTAGTTTTCTCAGGTTCGTTGATCCCGTTTTTCACTTATATCTCTAGTGATCATAGAACCTAGAATCTTGGACACAGTCAGGCTGATTCTCCCGTAGTTATCATAAGAGGATTTCTCCCCTTTCTTGAAAACTGGGACAATCAGTGATTGTGAACAGTCGAAGGGACCTTATCTGACTCTCATACACTAACTAGACAACGCTTCAGTTAACCTGACAGGAAATTCCCAACCACAGGCCTTAAATACCTCTGATACTAAACCTTCAGCTCTACTTCATTTCGGAATGTTTACAACTTTCTCAACTTCTGCAAGTGTTGGGGGTCCTATCTCAAAATTCCATTCAGTATACGACGAGATAGTGGGAAGTGTTCCTCGAAATGTTCCGCTTACCGTTCCAGTTATCCCCCCCCCCCGCGAGTGAATCGCAAACCCTTTCTACTCCACCATAACCTCGTTAACAACTAACATTTTCGCCCCAGTTTCCTTGGTAAGTCTAAATAACTGTCTACTATTACCTACCACTGTTACCTTTTACATTTCTCTACCCTTCGCTGCCCACTACTGTTCGCGGTGATTGCGTAAACTTTTCGTCCGTCTTCATTTCAGTTGTTTCAGCTACTCATTGTGTTCGGAGACCGCATAAATGCGTTCGCGCCCATTCATTCATTCAGAAGAAGCTTGTGAGATCGACTGGCCGTGTCTAACCACTTTCTGAGTCAGCTACGGAGATAGCACAAGGCTTTTTCTGGATGAGTTCTGTTTTGATGTCTGTCAAGTCAGTCTTTCGTTGAAAGCGTCTTCAGTGCCCTCATTGCCAACCTGCACTCACAATGGTCTCGTCGCTAGTTTTTCTACGTCCATTCAGGCGCAGACATACTGGGACATGAAACAGCGCACGGCCACTGTCCAAACATCTGGTCCAGAAAGAACAGCAAATAATTCGACATGGAAAACTGTCGCAAATAGAGGAGTACAGTTGTAAAACAACCTTAATTGTCACAAACCAGTGTTCGATAAGTATAAGAAAACGACTTACCAAAGCCATATCAGCAAAATTATCTCCTCCAAGAGCCGAAAATGTGAAATATATTAAGGCATGTGGAACGCTTGCGTTGACATGTAATCCAGATGCATATAAAAATCCTAAACCAAACTGGCCACGCGGGTTCCCTTCATTGGATAGTTGTTCGAATTCCGAATATGCACTCTGAAAAGGCTCTTTTGTGTGTCCTCCAAGTAATATCAGCAAAGCGAGCTGTTCTCGAGCCTTTGTATATCCATGCTTAGAAGCTTCACTAAGCAGTTCAAAAGCACTATACCACACAAAATAAAGTACACCACATATGGATTTCTATATTTTGTGAAAAATACAACTGAAAATTTCACACCAGGTATTAACAAGAATACAAACGGAAATAAAAGTGGATAATGATATACGCACATACCTTTGGCTAGAAGATGTTTGGGAATCTCCTTTCTCCAAAAGACTCATAGCTTCCTCGTATAAGCGTTGCGGTACACTTGAATCTGAAGTTTTGTCTTCACTTGACTGTAGATGAGATTTTTTTGCTGTATCCCCTAAAAAATTACAGTCTGTATAACAATTTACCATGAACTGATGGAATGCTATCACCTGTGACATCGTTAACGCCTGAACCCCGCCTAGATGCATCCACTAACTCTTGGTCTGAGCAATATTTTTAAATATATACTTATTAATACCTGCATCTTTTAAGTGTGAATCAATTGGATCACGTATCGATTCTGAGTCAACATTTGGATCTTCTTTATCCTTTAAAATTTGAGAAAACACTATTTAAATATAACGGTAATGTGACTGCTTACATAGGTCAGGTTCGAGAAAATCACGAAGAAATTTCTCGACTGTCTCTGGGTCATCCAATTGCTCCAAATCACTTTTGACTTTCTTTTTCTCTGCAGTTGTCTGAACGTCAACATCACCTAAAATAAAATTTAATGTGGACAATTTTATCTATAAAACGGTTTCAGGAAAGAACCATAACATGCATTGATTCTACTAGTCCCCTAAACAAACAAATCCAAAAAATGCAAGAGCGACGGTTAGTGAATGTAACACAAAAAAGTGGAAACAACATGCGATATGAGAAGATTGTGTAACAATTTAGGTTGTCACATCTTGCATCAGGACTTCAAGAGTGTGGTCAATAAAACAAAAGACAAAGAAATCAAAATGAGGACCTCAGTAGTCATAAGGTAGGAAATGAGAGAAATAGGTAACAGGACGCATTATATATAGATAGGTAGAACTATTCATATATAGGATTCTAAAATTCGTGGTCATTTAGGTTACAGTGCATTCTTCTGCAAAAAAATGCTATGCACTGGATGCGTACTAAAAAATACCTCTGCTTACTATGCAGAATATAACAAAAATGGTTGCGACTACTATCTCAAAAAATATTTTTTAATATGAGAAATACATCTGATTCTTCTGAAAAATACTGTTTGACAAAATTCTACAGGAATTGTGCGTGAAAACTTGATTGTCTTTAAAATATGAAACCGTGAGCCAATCTATCGAGTGACACGAAACCACTATGATAAAATAAAAAAAGGTTTCAGCAAAACGTTCAACAAACTAAGGATGCTGCAAACAATCTGAACATAAATCAAACAGTTAGTCTCATAACTGAACCAGCTTAGTTTACTTTGGTGGAGCTATGGCTCAGTGGTTTAGAGAGAATACTGTCAACCAGTGGGTTATGAGTTCAGACTCCGCTCCCCCTACCGAGGTTTGGACAGCCAAGCAGTATCACTATCATAATAGGTGTGGCTCATTGTCTATTGCATGAATGTGCACAGGATGGCTAAGTGCGTTTCATTTTCATGATTTGCACTGGATGAAAGAATCTAGTCAAAGTGGTGAAGCATGAACAGCCAGGCTTCTTATCCGGAAAACAAAGTGCGACCCATGGTAACACTGAAATATCTCCTCATGTACCTAGTCTTCACAGTTGCAGGAATTCTTAGGACAGCTTATAGTATAGATATATCTGGCCAGTGTCCCGATGTTTATGTGAGAAAACCTTTATATCTTACATACAAATTAAGATCAAATTTTCATGTATCTCATCTAATATTGGTAGGCTAACAACTTTTTTAACTAGCATCGATGAGAAGATATGAAGGTCGCAGTTTGAATGAATCACCGTTAGAAAGGTTAGGAAGTATGGCGAAAAATAACATCGTAAAAACCTTGTTGATACTTGTCCACTAGCACAACTATAAGTTGCTTTATCCGGTTTAGTTTGACTGGGGACCCAACTAGGAGGAACAATAAGACTGTCATTATATTTTGAGTACCAGAAAATGTACTTTAAAAGGAAAGGAATGATTGCGAAAAAAGCCTTAAGTGCAAGAGAAATTGCGTATTGAGGAGTTAAGCCATGACGAGGGTACTGGTATCTAAAACAGAAAAAATAAAGAACTTTCACAACTATTACGACACCATTCCAAACTATTACGAAGTAATAGTTAGTGGTTTTAGTGGGAAGGTAACAGTGATGATTAGTTGGAAGAGTGCATATGAATACGATGTACCGTAGAGTGACCGACTGACTGGCCTTGACAAAAACAAAATCGATTGCAATTTATTGATGACTATTGTTAAAACCTAATGTGGGCAGTGATCAAGAATGCTGACTAATTGGTTGCATTTTGTACCATGTCATATTATATAATCAAACAACTGTTGCTTATATGAAAATGGGTGGAACTTAAAATAGTCTGAATGAAAACTATACAAAAAAGATTAACAAATGATCAGGAATAAAGGCAAAAGTTACAAGACCCTAATTTTCCACCAACGCACTTGGGGCTGCCTTACTGTTTACCAAGACTTTTACGATAATACATAGCAAATACAATTCGACCCATCGACTTCCGTGCAGCTCAAAATAACTGCTTAGTATGTCATCTATAACTATGTAATAGTTGGGTAGTAGTGACAATGCGAAACATGAGTCATGGAGGTTGAATCGTTTTTATGTCAAAGCGAACTCTGTACAACATGGGCACAAAGAAATGTGCTCTTCGGCGCAGTATAGCAGCAACATAAGGCCAGAAACGAAAGGGGGTCAGATAAGATGAGAATGCTCGGACAGTTGGCTTTGGAAGAAATATTTCAAATAACTCTGAGTGCATTTATGCTAACTTTAACAAATAGAGGACACCATTGTGAAACGACCTTCACTGTTCAAATGTATGATATTATCTCAACACAACGAGCCACATAATCTTTTCAGTTGCCCGAGGAGCTTTGAGATGACAGCAGATACCAACTCAACATTTAAATTGTATAGCCACATACCAAAGCACCTCTTTACTACTTCCATTGAGTTTCAGAGCCGTAAAACAATGAACGGCATAGGAGCCGCTGGGACGACAGTCATAAAAGCTATCAGATGGCGTGACTCAGTGAGAGATATTATCTGTCAAAGTCAGAAACTTCACTATAACTCCGAGTTATCGATGCAATGTTTTCACTGGATACGAGCATTCTTTTCCAGACGACGGTGGTCGTAAAAGTAGGCTTGTCAGTTATTGACAGACAAATCAACGTAGAACCCGGCACACAAGTGCATCAGTTGAAAATGTCACACAACAGCAGCATGAAAAGCACTAAACATGGCCTAAAATGAATGGAAACATCAGAGACTTCGAAGAGAATTAGCAGTGCGTCTACTAGAGCCATTGTTATAGGCTTTTAACCATCTTGACAAGTATGCAATTATCGATTTCTGTTGCTCAGGGAACTCCAGCTAGGCCGATTACACCTCCATACACCGCTCAGGCCAACAGTGAAAGACTTCATGGACTGGTGCCATATCTTAGTCTGTCTGGTCCAAGTCTTCTATCTCAATCACACTAGCGAACATCACACTCTCAAATGGGCAGCGCCTCGGCACGTGTAGCATATGTCGAAGTCACCTCAGCCAGCGACTTTTCACAGCGTTATGGACTAACTCATCTTTTTCGTCCAGTACCATCCATTTACCCGCAACACTATTTGGTGATTTCACAATAAACGAGCAACGCCACGAAGATACATGTGGTCGTTCACCTGCGACTTCTTTATTTCTTTTTTAAAATAACCATGCCCCCAACTGTGTGGTCGGAGAGATGGGAGTGCAGCGCAGTACACTCGTCCATTACAAAAGTCGGAGCAAAATCCTTTAGTAGACAGTCTCTTACTTTAAACTTAGAGCCTGTCGACCAACCCTAAAGCATTACTCTACATTTGACGGGAGCCAAAATATGTAAATCACACCCAGTTGTTTGCTAAAGGCGTTCATAATTATTCATTTTATCGGCATCTTCGCCTAACAGGATCACATCATGAATACACATAAAACATCAAAACAGAAACGGTACGTTTCGTGTATAGAAAATGCCATGAACACTACCTATCACTGTTGTGATAAGTATGGATATTTCACTCCCTGATAAACACACAACTCCAGAGTTTTCAAAAACTGACACTGAAACCCAGTGAAGCTCTGCAGAGCACTAAATACGGTATCTCATCAATGAACTTTCCTGCCCTAATAATTTATAAATTGTGGTGCATGATACATCAGTCGTGAAGATTATGAATTGCTGCTCTGCCAGACATTTAGATGTGTATGCTCGGTTTGGGGTCACATGAAAGATAAATGAATTATGCTAACATGTAAAACCTAGTTATAACTAGGTCTGATTACCATTTGTGCATAGTATTCACACTTACCACTTTTCTTTTTTGGCCTCATGCCTTCCAATGTCCCATAACTGTCAGTTATGAGGGAAAAAAGTATAATCCCCACAAACAAGTATGATGGACCATTTGGATACTTCACAGAGAGACCGAAAAACATTTCTTGGATATCCAAAAACCGCTCCAGGAGTTGAAACGCGTGTGTCTCCTATTCGCTCAATGTCTGAAGGTCATTCAGTATACCTTTTCACAGAAAACATGAATACCACCAAAATGAATAATCACTCAGCCTTTATTAGGAAACTGGTAGTTTTAAGGCTTTCATGTCTGACATGATATGATATGTCTGAAGTTGGAAGGTTGTCGAACTTTATTTTGAGTAATTCTTCTGAGGTCGTAGCTGAGTAATGCCATAAAGAGTACCACTACCCAGACGCCAACAAGAAAACGGAATCTAATTTGGGCTTGTCCTTAGCTTTATGATAGTCTTTATCCATGTAGTTCTCTCTTGGTGACCTCCATGTTTGACTTAATTTTTTTCGATCAAGCGACTCAGTTCGCGAATCATCAGACCCAACAACTTCCAACATCAACAGTCATTCGAAGGAGTCGACTGGTGTGGCTGTGGCCAATTCCTTCAGTAGAGCGCTTCATAAGGCACATACCCTGTACGAGAAGAAGTTTTATCTCATTCCCATCTTTGCCCTATGGTGGGGTATGCGAGTGGGGTTCCCGCTGGACTGTCGGTTTTGGACAGATAACGTTGACCTATTTTGGTGGTCCACTTATCAAATGATCTTGTAGGCCATTATCAGCTAACCCCGTTTCCCCCGATGAATCATAACAAAACTCCCTCTTTATGCAGCAAGTTAATGAGAATATATTTAGTAACGATAGTATTCATCATTTGTCCTCATATTATGAAATCAACGTAGGTGTCCCAGTATGTCAGGATGTACTTCCCCGAATGTTTTAAGATTACTAACTCTCCTTGGCGATCAACGTCCACAAAGTTAAGCAACTCCAGAAGTGATGTGCTCCAAGCGCTGGAAATTGCTAGGAAGAGTGCTGTGTGAGATCACCTAGTTGCCTGGACAGGAAATCTAGAATAGTGTCTTCTCTAAATGCCCTTCATTTACAGCTAGAACTGGTGATTAGAGTGTCGGGGAAATGGAGGATGTCTTCCTTACGCGCGAACAGTTTAGTCACGACATGGTTGCTTAGCTAGCGATTACGCTCCTGATCTTTTTGAAGTTGCCATTGAACGATATGTCGAGTGCACAATGCTCCAAACTTCCCTGGGTTACGACCGTAGCCATTATCTAGAGACCGGAGTCACTACAGCTCGTTTGGGTCGCGTTTATCCTTTACGCTTCTTTTTGAAATTCCGTGCCATCGAAAAATTTATGAACAGGGAACTTTTCTGTGGGAGATCACTTGTAAACGGCACAAACAAAAGTAGCCTTGGGGTTACTACCCCATATACTGATTAGCCACACCTTGACAGACAGCATTATGATGGTATTCTGTTCAGTTTGCTACAGAACTGTGAGCTTCCTAAGTTCTCTTCGTACTAAGAAAGTTGAGGCTGAAACCTAGTAACAATGTCCGGACAAGGATCTTGTGTTAGACGCCGTTGAATATCTTTGCCTAGCCAAGAAAAGTGTTATGGACTACTTATTTTAACCCACAAGCTAAGATTATTCTAGGGAAACCAGTGTTTGGTTTTTGGGGGCACGAAAGAAAAAATACGTGCAGAAGTCGTTTACATTTGCATATGAAGTAGTAGAGGTTTCCTGGGATACTTAAAAGTGTAGCGTCACACACTTCCCCAGAATCAATAGCCTAGGGTTTGACGACTTTCGACATTGATGCTGACCTTGATAGTTTAACTGGACTCGCTAGGCTGAAGGCACACGGTCAAGCATCCTAGCCATTTGGCACGCTGTCGTGTTACGTTGCATTGCTGGTATTCGACTCTCTAGCCGGTTAGTTGGAACGCATCGGTATCTTGGCACAACCATCCAAATATACTATTCCATCCGACTACGCTATCGTGTTCTTCCTTGGTCTCGTATTCGTGGGTATATAGCAAGTTCGAATAATTAGTGATTGGTCTTTGCGTCTGTCAAGTTCGCATCAGGACACATCCTAAACGAGCACCGTCGCCTAGTGTGAATGATAGCCAGCGGCGCTGTCGCGATCATTAATTTGGCATTTGTTTCGTATTCGTCTTTAGTGTAAGAAGCAAAACTCACCATTAGGTAAGCGCCACCTGGACAAGAACTTTGTTCCAGTTTGGAGCAGTTTCTACCTTCCACACTTTATCCATGATGTTCTCAGTTACTTCCGGCGTGTTACTTCTGGCGGTCTGTCACAGAACGTCCAGGGAACAGTCTTCTTCACCCATGTCTTGTGCTCATCTGTCGTGAGGACGTTTTAGCCCTTAGACCAGCGCGCACTCACGTGGCAGCCCATCAAGGCATCATGGCTTTGTTTCAGCGGGGAAGGATTTTGGCCGCTTCCGCCTGCCAATTCTCCTCATTCCTAATGTAGAGGGCTATACCACTACAACCAAGAGGCCACTGAACGCAAGGTGTGGTGACGGTAGCATGACCTTGTGTTGCTTTCACCAAGTTTCCTCCATGTTTCAAAGCATTTATCCGGGGTCATTTTGTGAGGCGAAGTAAATGCTTTGCACACGTGTGAGGAAAATAACGCCGGAGGGATAATTTGATGGCTTCAGTATCTGACCAGTTTACGGCCATGAGGTATGGGTTAGTGCATGTTGCCACCCAGCTTTTTTCTTCGGGAAACTCACGTGAAATGGGGTCAAGTTTCTCAGGTTCATTTAGGTATTCAAGCCAACTATAGTGAGTTACGTTTCTACCACGAAAGTGATCTCGAAGCTTGAGGGGACAGGTCTTATCTCTCTTATTCCTCTCCTTATCCCTTTGAAGTTGCGATACATGCACGCAAAACATTGCGGTTGGGTAGTTGGTTCATTGTTGAGGTGTTCCTTGGGTGGTGGTTACTGGCATTACATTCAGGATAGAGGTCATAAGCCAGTACTTAACCGACTTGCCCCCTACTTTTCTGGTAGATATAAGCCCCCCTTCATAGTATCTGATAACGTCATCTATCTTGCTTTGCCGGAATGCGAGAACATCGGTGAGCTCTACATGTGAGTCCAGACTAACATCCATCAACCTCTTGGTCAGAGTGCACTCGAGTTAGTCTGCTTTTGGTTATTTAGCAGCATTCAAGACCGCCGGGTCAGAAAATTTTGATTTCGGTAGCTGACCGCAGCCGCTGTCGTACACCAAGCCTGCTTCCCAAGCTCTTCTAGCCAGTTCGGTGTCTGGCTTGAAACCATAGTGGTCTTGCTTGGGTCGTAAGACGGAGTGTTACTCCAACCCCCTTTATTTGACCATGATTTATGTGGCATGGTGCTGATGAGGCATGCCACATTAGGATGAACTTTCAAGGGGGCGCACATTTGTTTACTTTAAGTGAATTTTTTTATCCTGAAGTTAATAACAGCACGGGAGAAGCCAATTTACAGGCATAATCAAATTGATAATGACAGAGAAATCTCCAACAGTTTGGCCGTCCTGAATGGTAGAGAAGGGGGACATTAAGGTTTGTCATGGTATCAGAAGTGTCTACAGGCCATGAAGAGAAGAGGATAGTGTCGCACTGCAGCACATACACGTTGATCATGGGTTTAGGTTGTTTCCATTCACCGCTATTTTTTCACGCTAAAGTGGCATCGAGGTCACGCAGTATCTGATGCTTGCGTTACAAGTGCCTGAGACTTTTAGCTTGCTGCATAGTTCTGTGTCCCTTCAGACAAGCACCTATTTCAGCGTCAACTCACCTGTTCTTAGTATCACTGGACAACAAGAACTCACTTCATGGATTTCAGGTACCAGTAAGTGTTGACATACCGTGTTATCCATGTGAATATTTAAGTTCAAGCGTTCCCCACTCATCGTGCTACCGTACACAAGAACATAGGCGTATGCCGCTGGAATTAGTCATTGTGTTGCAGGAAAATCAACAATAGAAGGACCATCAACCACTTGTGGTGGATTTTGTACAGAATTCACGTTGGAGTACGCAGTATTACCAAGGTGGCATGTTGGCTGTCGACTTCCATCGGACGAAGCCAAATGAAATAAGGCACTGAAGAAATCCGTTGCGTAAGTCCGCTTGTGAGTACGTTGCATCTAGAGTCATCAGGTAAGTTGACCTTTTCCATATAGTTGCTTGTCCAGATTTTCCTCGCCGTTATGACAGTCTAGAAGTCTTAGACCAGTTGTTGCGGTTGAGTTTTTGTATATGGTAGCACTTAGGATGTTGGTGAGTACGTGAGTTTACATTGGAACTTCCCATAAAATTTGAAGTCGATGGGGCAAACCATACAAGGAATTGTTTCAATAATTTCTGATATCGCGCAAGATGTAGTATGTTCAGTAAGTTGATATTTTTTGGTTACAGTTGTGCTTAAGATTTTTTCTTCAAGCTTAACCTGAAAAGAGGGGAAAAATGAAAACACAAGCAGAGACTGGAGAGCGGCATACCGTGCAAGGTGAATTGGGAACGGAGAAGTCCCTATTTTCTTGGATTCACATCAGCTATACGCACACTTTAATTCGTGTAAATGAAAATGAGTCTTCTGGTTTTCCCACGCAAAGTTCGTACAATCGTTTAGGTATGTAATGCTTATTTGTAGACGTACACGGGAACCTGACCTAATGTCGAGTGGATCTGTTCTTGTCCAATGTGCCCTCGCTGACCACACAGTCCAGGGGAGCAATGTAGTAATCAAACACCCTGTGTGAACGCTTGAATCCGTTATGCCCAAAAGATTGGTGATGACCTCACTTGGCACTTTTAGAGGCCCTAGTATGTTTTCACCAGCCGAGGACGCATGGTTGGTGGCTAAGCGAGTGATAGACCCATCATCTGCGAGGAATGAAAAATTGGTAATGAAGCTGTGGTAAGTATTTCCTCAGGGAGTCTGTTCCAGATGCAAGAGGACTTATTGAGGAAGGAACTACCTCGCATATTGGTCTTACAACATTCAGTTTTAGCCAATAGTTTATGATTATGTATAATTTGAGATGTTGCGGCTATTTTAATTCCCGGGCCGCATGAGTGCATGTGCTAATAAGCGACCTATAATAGAATACAAGATTCTTCTTAAGCCGCC